ATACATGCCTCATGCATGCCTTATGCATGCCTTATACATGCCTCATGCATACCCTACGAACGTGCCTTGTGTCTCTCGGTCCCATCACATCAGTAACCTTGGCTACAACAGCATGACAGGCACCATTCCTGACTTTCTTGGCAACCTCCCAAATCTTGCTCACTTGTGAGTGCTGCTACGTGTCGTGAATTGAAATGTGACCAGCACCACATGCCGTGTGCCCCACCCACATCACATGCGCACCACATGCCGTGTGCCCCAGCCACATCACATGCGCACCACATACCACGTGACCCACCCACATTGCATACCCACCACATGCCGCGTGAACCGCCCACATCACATATGCTCCACATGCTGTGTGACCCACCCACATCGCATGCGCACCACATGCTTATTCTCGACACAAGCTCTTGGCACGTGCCACTCTATATGGTCAAGACCCTGAGTTAGGGATGAGCAAAATCCCGAACGCCTGTTCGGTTCGCCTCGAACATGTTCGAAGCGAACCGAACAGGCATTTTATTTTTGCCTAAATTGTTCGGGCCGAACATGTTCGGTGTTCATGCTAGACGTTCGCCTCCGAATTTTGGCTCTCCAAGCCGAACACGAACATGTTCGTGTTCGACTTGGGGGCCACGCGAACACCAAAAATGTTCGCGTCAAAATTGGCCGCGACCAGATTTAGGTCGCGGCCAATTTGTGTTTGAGCTCATTTCGTGAGCTCAAACTCAGAAGTCGTTTTCGCCTTAGCGCTCCCTCACACAGCCGCCCTAGCCTCCTTGTTCTAGGTGCAAGCAAGTGCACGCTGATACTTGCAGTGTAAACGGACATTAGATAGATAGATCTATGCATAGGGTTTAACGTAGTGTAGGGAGTTTAGGGTTACTATTAAGGTTCAGCGAGCATCTCCGCAAAGGGCTCAAGTAGGGCGTATCCTACGCCGTAGGATTCGGATCGGGCATTAGGAACGTGCGGCACCATCCAACTCTACCGTTGCAGGAAGGGTGTTTTAGGGTTTAGGGTCGAGGGCGGAGTTATGGCTTCCAGGGCTGGTGGATCCATAGGCCGAGGTGCAGGCAGGGCTCAGGGCAGCGCACCGGGATCTCCACCACGACCTATGCAGGGGCGAGTAGGGGATGGACCGGGAGGAGCCGGCGCGATCTTCGTTGGGGGGTTGCTTACCTGTACCGGCGCCGACCTCTCGTCGCTCTTTCCGTTACGACGGCCCTCGACCCCCTCCTTCGGGGCAGACGCCGACGCAGCCGGAGAGCGGCAGCGAGGAGGAGGATAAGGAGGAGGATGGTGAGGGCGAGAAGGAGGAGGACACTGAGGGGAGCGGGGATGACAGCGAGGCGGCGTGGGACCCAGAGACGCATGGCGATGGGGAGGGGGGAGATGATGATGATGAAGACCACGAGATGGATGGGTTGGAGCCAGAGGGGCGGGAGGAGGAGGTGGGAGAGGGTGGTGGAAGGGCGGCGACAGAGGCGGGATCACAGCATGTGCGTGAAGGGGGAGGGAGCGTGGGGGTTAAGGTGGGGGGGAGAAAGGCCGTGACCATTAGGGAGCCGAGGCAGAGGAAGAAGGCCAACAAGTTGAGGGAGCGGGCGTATCCCTGCACGTTCACTGGGGAGTCCTTGGGCGAGGGTGTAATCGCTCCCGAGTTCCTAGACGAGGACGGAGAGTCCGAGAGTAGTAAGGGGACTGGCAAGGGTAATAGGAAGCCGGGGTGGCAAGTAATGATGTTCGGACCGTTAGGGGCAGACGATAAGTGTCAGTGCAAGATTTGCACAGACAGGATTTCGTGGAAGCAATCCACAACAACCCCCGGCGAGCGGCACTTTGCGAGCTTCCACACTGCGCACATGCATGTGTGGCATCACCGTTACCACACCCCGTCCGTTCACTTGCCAGGGGAGACGTTTCCACGTGGGGGCTACAAGGGAGTGCCGGATGGCTACGTCTATCAGTGGCCACATGCCAAGACTTGGCCGCAGCTCGCCAAGGGGAAAGGGATGGCGACTGGTGGAGGTCATGGGTCAGGCGGGATGGAGCGGTGGATGACAACCAAACTGACCTCGGTGCAGCTACGGCAGGCGATCACGAAGCTGGTGGTCACCTGCGACCTCCCCTTCCGCATCGTCGAGGCTGAGGCTGTAAGTGCCCCATCCCATCCCATGCATGATTGGGCAAGTATGTGGTTAGTGGACGGGTCTGTCCCTTTGTGTTTTGAATGTTTGCGTGTGGCCCAGTGCAGTGCTATATTATTTTCATCCCATCCCCCTGACGTTTACTCCCCTCTCCCCCCTTGTCTCTACTCCTCTCCAGATTCATGAGCTACTCATCCTGCTAAACCGCAACTGCGCGCAGAAGAACTTCATCCCCTCGCGCTGGACGGTTTCCCGCGATACAGTGGTCTATGCGGCTGCCGCTCTTCAGTCAGCCATTGCGGAGATGCTGGCGAAGGAGGGGGATCTGGGGTGCAGGGTGTCGTTCACCATCGACATGTGGACGTCGCCCAACAAGAGGGCGTGGCTAGTGGTAACGGGTCACTGGATCGACGAGAATTACCAGCTGCGCACAATGGTGTTTGAATTCCGCGAGATTCACGGGCGTCACACGGGCAAGCAGATGGCGAGGGTGGTTGAGGAGACTGTGGTGCAGTGGGGGTTGGAGACGCGTTGTCTTGGGTTCACCTCAGACAACGCCTCCAGCAACACTGCCGCTTTCAGGTGGATGTCGGAGGAGGGTGGTGGCCAGTGCTTCTTCAACTCGCGCATGCACTTCCGGTACGAAAGGGAGTGTGCGTGGGATGTGCGATGAGGGAGTCTGGGTGCGTCGTTCCTGTGATGTGAACATGTTGAGGTTGTAGTACAGGCGGGTGGGCCTATGCGGCTTGAGAGTGGTAGTGTTTCGCGGATCTATGCCAATGTGCACTCACACTTCCCTTTCTCTCCGCCATTAATGTTTTGTGATGTGCGCAGATGCCTGGCACACGTGATCAACCTTGCAGTGAAGGCAGCACTCGCTGTGACCGCCATCCGCAAGTTGTTGAAGATTCTGAGAGAGATGGCGTCGTGGATAGGCTTCTCGCCGCAGCGCTCAGGGAAGTTCTTGGGCCTTCAGCGGACCCTGAACGCGCAGGGCAACCCCGCCAGACCGAAGCCGGCATTGAAGCTGGTGCAGGACAGTCCCACACGCTGGGGGTCGACCCACGACATGGTCGAGCGAGCTGGGGTTCTGCAGGAACCCATCTCTGTCTTCTTTGCCCAGACACAGGTGTGTGTGTGTGCCAGGTGTTGTGTATGCGGTTTTATGTGTTGGTATGTCAGTCGGGGTGTTTTCTTCTGGGACTTGCACCACTGTTGGCCATGCTTGACTAAACTTATCGGACCTCCAACAACCTCAACCACCCCACTTTCCACCCTAACACCCGCCCACCCATACGTTCTACCCGACAGGGCGTGTCGAAGGCTGACAAGGCGAAGATGGACACCTTGCGCCTGACGGACGCAGACTGGGAGACTCTGCATTCTGTCAAGACCTTCCTCAGCCCATTCGCCAAAGTCTCCAAGGCCGCGGAGGGAGCGGCGTACCCTACAGTGGCGATGGTCCTGCCGTACTACAACGGCCTGATCGACGCTATGGAGTCGCGCCTTGCCAAGGGGCCATCGGCTACGCTGAAGCCGATGATTGAGGCGGCGCTGGGTCTCTTGAAGAAGTATGAACTGATGTCAAGCAACGAGTTGTGGATCGCCACCTTCCTGGACCCTTCCATGAAGGCGGCGTGGTTCGACGACGCGCACTGGGAGACGCTGCATCCCTGATACCGACCGGAGGGCGAGGCCTCGTCCCTCGTCAGGCGAGGTGATCCAGCTGGTCCGCGAACGCGTGGCCGAGTACCAGGCCCGGGCTGCAGCAATTGCCCCTCGGCCGACCCCACTTGCCCCAGTGACGGAGGAGGAGGAGGGAGACGCGGCGGATGACGACGAAGACGCCGAGTTTCTCCCTAGTCGCCGACGCCCTGCGGCGCGTCTTTCGGCGAGCCAAGAGGCGGGGAGGGGTGGGATGGTGCAGGATGACGAGGTTGGCAGGTACTTATCTGAGAGGGTGCGGTGCGACGTGTCAGCGTTGGAGTATTGGCGCAGCGCCACCAACATGCAGACGCTGAGGCGCATGGCCCGGGATTATCTTGCCATCCCTGCCACGTCCGCGTCGAGCGAGCGCGTGTTCTCCCTCGGCCGCAACCTCATATCCTGGAAGCGGCACCGCCTAGCCTCTCAGAGGACGCGAGCTTCCATGATTCTCAGATCATGGTACACCTCACACCCTGGACAGAGGATAGGCGAGGGCCGCCGTGCAAAAGGCGAGGCACCACCAGAGTTCGCCATTGAAGGCGAGGGGGAGGAGGAGGACGACGAGTGGGAGGAGGGGGAGGGGGAGGAGGAGCAGGAGGGGGTGGGTGCTGGCGACACCTCTGACGCGGAGCATGCTGTTGTTGGTAGTAGCAGTGGTGTGCAGGCGTAGGATTTAATTTGACAGTGACTTTTATATAGGCAAAACATGATGGTGTCGTATGCTAGTGTGCGTTGCATGAACACATATACACCCTCCACCCCCCTATCTATCTTCCCAACCCTCCAGATTCCCTGTTTGACCAATGTGACTATAACGAAAGTGCCCACGGGCGAACTCGAACATGTTCGGTTCGAACATGTTCGAGTTCGCCCACACATACCAAATGTTCGCCCCCATGGGCGAACGGCGAACACCTCCTGAACCCTAAATTGTTCGCCGAACCGAACCGTATTCGGTTCGGGAAATGTTGATGTTCGAGCGAACTCGAACCCAAACGTGTTCGAGTTCGCCCTTTGCTCATCCCTACCCTGAGTTAGCAAACAACTATATGCCTATTCATATGCTTGCAATACGGCCTATCATAATGTTGGCTTTGGTTTCTACTCTGCTCTTTGCATCCACACTCCCATGAAAAGCAGATTCCTACATGAGAACGATCTGAACGGCACGATACCCTCCTCACTAGCCAACCTTTCAGACCTTGGAGATCTGTGAGTTGCTTGATCTGTTGTGAGATGCTTGACTTGTTGTGAGAAGCTTGACTTGTTGTGAGATGCTTGACTTGTTGTGAGATGCTTGACTTGTTGCGAGATGCTTGACTTGTTGCGAGATGCTTGACTTGTTGTGACATGCTTGACTACTTGTGAGATGCATGACTTGTTGTGAGATGCTTGACTTGTTGCGAGATGCTTGACTTGTTGTGAGATGCTTGACTTGTTGTGAGATGCTTGACTTGTTATGGGATGCTTGACTTGTTGCAAGATGCTTGACTTGTGGGATGCTTGACTTGTTGTGACATGCTTGACTACTTGTGAGATACTTGACTCCTTGTGAGAACCTTGAATTGTTGTGAGATGCTTGACTTGTTGCGAGATGCTTGACTTGTTGTGAGATGCTTGACTTTTTGTGACATGCTTGACTACTTGTGAGATGCTTGACTTGTTGTGAGATGCTTGACTTGTTGCGAGATACTTGAGTGTCAAGTCTGACCCGCCCCTTTATAGAGGGCAGTGGTGTTTAGGGTCTGTAGTGGAACGTGAGTGATTTTGTTCTAAGAGAGGGCGTGCAGCCTCTAAGATGAAACCACGCTAGTACAACGCGAAATCGTGACATACGCTAACCCAACAGCGCGATTTCCTAAAACTGCAGATTAACGCCTTCGTAGTAGCAAGATATGTCGGATAACATGCTTTCCTAGGCTGGAAACAAACTAATTGCTTAGCTTAGGTGACATTAGTGGCTGAACTCTGGCGCCAAGGCGTGTGGGAAGGTTCTGATGTCGAGGGTAAAAAATCCCCTCGACATCGAATTTGCTTAGGGTAAGGGATGAGCAATATGACGAACACCTGTTCGGTTCGCCTCGAACGTGTTCGAGGCGAACCGAACAATATTTTTTTTTGGCCAAAATTGTTCGGGGCGAACGTGTTCGGTGTTCGCCCGAACACGTTCGCCGTTCGCCCGGCTCAGCTGACCGAGGCGCGACGAACACGAACGTGTTCGTGATCGACACGGGCCTTCGACGAACGCCAATGTGTTCGTCGACGAATAGGCCCGCGACCAATTTTTAGGGCGCGGGCCTTGGTGTTTGGGCTCAGATCAAGGCCTTTTGCCGTTGCTTAAGTGCGGATCAAGGCCTTTTGCCGTTGCTTAAGTGCGGATCAAGGCATTTCGCCGTTGCTTAAGCTCAGATCTAGCATTTCGCCGTTGCTTAAGCGTAGATCTAGCATTTCGCCGTTGCTTAAGCGTAGATCTAGCATTTCGCCGTTGCTTAAGCGTAGATCTAGCATTTCGCTGTTGCTTAAGTGCGGATCAAGCATTTCGCCGTTGCTTAAGCTCAGATCTAGCATTTCGCCGTTGCTTAAGCTCAGATCTAGCATTTCGCCGTTGCTTAAGCGTAGATCTAGCATTTCGACGTTTCTTAAGCGTAGATCTAGCATGGGCGGTTCTAGCAGGGCGGGACTGGCTTGCGGGGTGGGGGGAGGGAATGTGAAACATTTGGATTTCACTCTACTTGGATCTGAGAAGGTCCTTTAAGGCGAACGCGAACATGTTCTGGGCGAACGTGTTCGTGTTCGCCAAAACGTACGAAATGTTCGCCTCTCTTGGCGAACTTCGAACACCCTTTCTGGTGTAAAGTGTTCGGCGAACCGAACAGTGTTCGGTTCGCCGAACAGCCATGTTCGAGCCCAGGCGAACACGAACATGTTCGTGTTCGCCATTTGCTCATCCCTACTTAGGGTTTCGTACACTGCAGACCCGACTTCCTTGGTCCTGACCCGAATTCGGGTCGGATCAAGCCTGACCCAAAACCCGACCCGACTCGGCCCGAGTTCCGTGCTCGGGTCGAGTTTTAGCCCGGATCGGGTCGGGTCGGCCCGCACGGGGCAGGCAAATGAATCCACTGACCCGACCCGGGCTAAACCACGGGTCGGGTCGGGCCGTCCCGACCTGCGCGGGGCAAATGCTCATCTCTAACTTGACTTGTTGTGAGATGCTTGACTTGTTGTGAGATGCTTGAATTGTTGTGAGATGCTTGACTTGTTGTGAGATGCTTGACTTGTTGTGAGATGCTTGACTTGTTGTGAGATGCTTGATTTGTTGTGAGATACTTGACTTGTGGTGAGATACTTGAGTTGTTGTGAGATACTTGACATGTTGTGAGATGCTTGACTTGTTGCGAGATGCTTGACTTGTTGCGAGATGCTTGACTTGTTGTGAGATGCTTGACTTGTTGTGAGATGCTTGACTTTTTATAAGATGCTCGACTACTTGTGAGCTGCTTGACTTGTGAGATTCTTGACTTCTTGTGAGATGCTTGAGCGTCAATTAGACTGATTTCTTGTTTTAGTTGCTTGACTTGTTCTTACGTACGTTTTCTTTCCAAACGCTTATGTTTCACTCCGTATTCATAACCTTTGCAATGTCATTCCAGCCATGTGTTTGTGAGTGATTGTCCATCAACATATTCTCGTACCATAAACCCACAGCTATGCACACCACCACCTACACATGCATGGAGTATGGTCTTTGAGCTTGCAGTATTCATGCTTTCCATTTTTACTCCCACAGATTCCTGCAGTTCAACAAATTGACCGGCACAATTCCTGAATCGCTTTACACTCTCACAAAACTAAGCAAGTTGTGAGTGCAGTGCAGTTCTAATTGGCTTCCCAGTCAGGTCAGCCTTAGCCAAACTGCATGCACACACAACCACACCGCACACGTGCATTTCAGAAACCACAGGCTTTGCTTTCGCATGGACCACTCTACACGCATTGATTTTCCAGTGACAAGGGGTTTGTGCTCTTTGAATGTTGGCTTATGCAGAACTGGTTGGGAAAGGATCGAGCGAGAGTTTGCATCTGTTTTAATTTCATTCAATCATTTTGAAAAAAGCGAGCACTCGTGTCATGTTGTTGATCAAGCTGTTCATGCTCAAGCATGGTAACGGAATGTGCAATCTGCTGTACCATTTTTCTCGCGCTGCATTTCATGTATGCACACATCATGCATCATGCATGCTGCCTGTATCAATTTATGCATTCCATGTATGCGTGCTCGGAACTCTAATCTGGCATTGCTGGTAATCCCCTTATGTACGTTTTTTCTATGAATGCAGTAATCTTCTAGACAACTACCTCACTGGCTCGGTCTCTACGAGAATAGGCAACCTTGAAGCACTGATGATCTTGTGAGTGAGATTCTCAATAACACATTGGTTCCACCCACCCATTGGTTCCACGCAACCCACCCACAAAATTTATCCCTAGGGGGGACCCCTTTAGCCCATGTTCAGCTGTAGGTTGTTCGGTCATGGAAATGCACCAGTGGTCAGGGCCGAATGGGGGTAAGGGGGATAGCGAGGTGTGACTGAGAGATGGATTCGGGAGGGATAGCAGCACTGACGGGTGAGGATGTTAGTGTCAGAAATATTCACACCTTGTACCCTGTGTATATGCTGTAGGATAGGTTAGAGATAAGCACCAAGTTTACTTTGGGTGTACAATCAAGGGTAACCTCAGTTCAGGGTTTGGAACCCAATCTTGGTCTAATTACTGGACCCGAAAAGTTGGGTTGGACACCTCCATGTGCTTGGTGCGAGTGTGATACACGGGGTCTTGGGAGAGGTGGATGGTGCTCTTGTTGTCACACCCGAGGGTGAGGGTGGGCTGAGGGTAGCCAAGCTCCTGGAGGAGAAGGTGAGCCAACTAGCCTCTTGAGCAGCCATGGTGCTAGTGTAGAGCTCTGCCTCACAAAAGGTTAGGGAGACTGCAGACGACCTGGTGGAGCGCCAGCTGGCAACTCCGCTCCCAAGGGTGAAGCAGTAGCCCTGAGAGAAGCGTCGGCCGGTCTGATCATCAGCCCAAGAGGAGTTAGTGTTACTTTCCAGTCGAGGAGGGGAAAGCCCACCATGTGTGAGATCATGAGACTTGGTGCCCTTCAGATTACGCAATACTCGTTTCGTCGCCTTCAAGTAAAGATCAGTGAAGCGTTCAGGGGCCACATTGCGAGAGAGGACACTGACAGAGTATGCCAGGTTAGGCCGACTGCACATCATGGCGTACATGCGGGACCCAACGAGCTCCGGGTATGCCTCAGAGCAGGCCTCTGGTGTGAGTACAGCTAGGGCTATGCGGAGGTGTTGCACTGACAGCAGGGTGGCAACAGGTGTGCACAACTCCATCACAAACCGCTTGAGCACATTGTTGATGTAGAATGCCTAGGAGAGTGAGATGGTGTGAGCCTACGGATCACGAGTGATCTCCATCCCTAGGTAGTGCTTAAGGTTACCGAGGTCTTTCATTAGGAGAGCCTTGCTTAGGGCCGCGTGGACAGAGGGCATCTGGGCCGAGTCCTTGGCAATGAGGATGAAGTCATTGACGTGGACAAGAATGTAAATTGACTCAGAGTGATGGCGAATGAAGAGAGTTGGGTCAGCAGATGATGGGTGAAAGTCCAATGAGACGAGTACTTCTTTCACTTTGTTGTGTTATTCACGAGGGGCTTGCTTAAGGCAGTAAACAGGGCGATTGAGCTTCCAGAAAGTGTTGGGAAGGAACTGTCCTGGAAAGCCTTCAGGCCGATCCATGAACACGGTCTTCTTGAGATGTTATTGTAGAAAGGCCGATGAGGCGTCTATGGATTTGATTTGGAAGTCTTCTCGTGTGGCTATATCCAAGAGCGTGCGAACAGTAGTTGGTTCGGATGTGGGAGAGAATGTAATGAAGAAGTCAAAGTACTGCTGCTGAGTGAATCCCTTCGCCACATAGCGCGCTTTGAACACTGGAGCCTTGACCGGAAGCTGTCTCACTCGAAATAGCCTCTTGCCCTCGACGATATTAACACCTGGAGGTGGACTTTCGTCGTCGAAAGAGTGGTTGCGAGTGAAGGCTTCCATGGCAGCACGCTAGGCATGAGCAACGGGTGAACACCAAACGTGTTCGCCCGAACGTCCCCGAACAGTATAATGGGCGAACCGAACATGTTCGGTTCGCCCGAACATTGTTTTCACATTTTGCATGTTCGGTGTTTGGTTAGTGTGGGCGATTTGCCGAACCTCAACATGTTTGGCAAATTTCGAACATGTTTGGTGTTCAAATATAAGGACTTAGCAGATTCTCCGAGTTAACAGATTTCACCCACCACCCGCCCATACATGTCTTTGGGGTGGGGAACATAGGGGAAGAGGGTAGGGCGAGTGGGAAGAACGTAAGTTACTTTGAAAAACGACTCATTAACCTAAGTTACGTAAAGGGGCTGGGTGGAAATGGTCTGGAAATGAGCCTACTACTCCTTACTGCTGTGAAATTAACCTAAAAAAATAGATTAAGGTCGAAATGACCTCGATCTATGGGTTCCGTAGAACTTACATCCAACCAGCCCGACAAATGCCGCGCTGTTTTTTTCCGAACATCTGATGTTTGGAAAAGCGGGAACAGTTCCCGAACATGTTTGGTGTTCGGGAATTGTCCCCATAAACTTATCGAACACCGAACATTTTCGGGCGAACCTTATTTCCAAAATTGAAGGTTGGAACACGTTTGAAACGAACATGTTTGACCCGAACCTGTTTGAGGTTTGGAAAAGTGCTCTTGTCTACAGCATGCCACTCGGCAGCATGGGGACCCGAGAGAGCCTCTTGGACGGTGAGAGGGATAGAAATAGTCGGGTTCTTCGAGAAGTTGAGTGAGGGTGATTCAGTGATATCGGGGAAGATGTGCGAGAGCTGTAGCGTGAAGATCACAAAGCTCCTCATGCCTATCTTCTAGAAGGGTAGAGGGCACTTCCACCCAAGCAGGAGGAGTTGGAGTGATCACTGGGCATCGAATGGCAAATGCCAGTGGAGGAGCAGGCCCATGCGATCGAGTGCCATGAGCTACCAGAGAAGAGGGTGGAGCGGGTGGTGCTAGAGGGGTTGGTTTAGGAGGCTTGGGCGAAGGGATCGGCCGTCGCTGGTACGTGATGAGGTCGCTCGGCTGTGGGAGAGCGGGTTCCTGAGTGGAAGAGAGAACGGGGGGAGGAGGTGAGGCTGGAGGGTTCGACCGCCGATGGTATGTGATTGGTGCGCTTGGTGCGCTTGGTGGTGGGAGCGCAGTTGGCAGAGTGGGAGAGGGGGAGATGGAGGAGCAGCTGCCGATAGGGATGAGCACGAGGCGAACTCGAACATGTTCGCGTTCGCCTTGGCCCGAACATGGCCGTTCGGCAAACCAACAGTGTTCGGTTCGCCGAACAGGTTTCGCCAGAAGGGGTGTTCGAAGTTCGCTTGGAGAGGCGAACATTTCGAACACTTTGGTGAACACGAACATGTTCACCCGAGTTTGCCGCCTTGGTGCCGCCGAGCCAGAGGGTTGAGGAGGACATAGGCGGTGCACCCCAAAACTCAAAGGGGGCGAGCAGTGGGTGTTTTCCCGAGTCAGAGTGTGGTGGGAGTGGTGTCAAAAAGATGCGGGTGGGGGTAAAGGTTGTAGAGGAGGGCGGCATGGTAGAGGGCGTACCCCCAAAGTGAGAGTGGTGCGTTGGAGTGGCTGAGGAGGCAGCGAGCAATCTGCACTAATGCGTAGTTGTGGTTCTCTGCTATGCCGTTCTGGTGTGGGCTGTCAGGAAGGGTGACGTTTTGCAGGATGCTTTTTGAGGAGCAGAACGCTTTGAGCTTGTCATTGCAAAATTCACCACCACCATCCGAATGGAAGCGCTTGACCTTGCGACCAAAGATAGTTTGTGCCTGATTAGCCCACACCATGATCGCCTCTGGAGCCTCAGCTTTAGTGTGGAGGAAGTCCACAGAGATGTAATGGGAGTGGTTGCAGAGAGTCATTCTACAACGGTAGTGAGCTAGACTACGGGGGTTGGCACGAAATATTAGAAGTTGTAGAATGAGGATCGGTGAACTTGAGGCACAATGAGAGAAGAACAATATATCCTTAGTAGGAAGATGGTACAAGCCTGAAAGGCTAGAGCAATGTCCTTTCCAAGGATGAGTTCTAGAGAAGTGGGAAGCCACATTTATGTGGCTGAACTCTTGAGGCTAGCTGCAGCACCTCAAAGCTGAGGGCAGAGGTAGCCAACCTTGCCAAGCTAGCAATTGAGGCCACATGTTGCACATGTGGGCCAGGCTGGAACAACAGCCTACATGGCAGCATGTGGCACACCATAGGAGCCAACAAGGTGAGTATGGGATGGGTGGACAGATGGCAATGCCAACTGTGACCACACTTCACTGTGGGTGAGTGTGGTGGAGTGTGGGAGTGTCATGTTCGGCATAATGAGAAGAGAAGGTGCTGCCGATGAGAGTTGAACCCGCGACCACTAAGACCAAAGGTACCCACTGGGACATTCTTGCTTCCACAACACCCCCCCTCAAGGATGTCCCCGGGGTAGGGTGCCTCAAGAGGAAACATGGGTGAGACCGAGAAGACCACGGATGCGAAGAAAAGGGTCACGGGGCAAAGGCTTGGTCCCAATGTCAGCGAGGTTGTCTTGAGTAGGAACATAGTGAAGGGTGATGGAGTGGTCGGCAACATGATCGCGAATGAAATGGTGCTTGATGTCGATGTGCTTGGCCTTGGGATGAAAGACGCCATCGTCCTTGGCGAGAATGATGGCACTGTTGTTGTCACACGAGATACGGGTGGGGCCGGTAGGGGGACGTCCAACTGCAGTAAGGAGCGAACGAAGCCATAATGCCTCGTGCATCGCGGCGCCCAGAGAGTAATATTCAGCTTCACATGAAGGGTAGCAACGACGGCTTGGCGTTTGGACTGCCAAGAGATGAGTGACGGACCGAGGAAGAACAAGTAGCACGTAACGGAGCGACGCAGCTCCCCCTCCGGTCCCCAAGAGGCGTCACACCAGCCATGAAGTTCGAGGGTGTCGGGAATGCCACCAAGGAGAAGCCCAAGGGAGGTAGTCCCTTTCAAGTAGCGAGCAATGCGTTTGGCAGCCGAGACGTGAGGAGTAGACCAATCGTGAAGGTGACGAGCAAGAACTCCAGCGCTATATGCGAGGTCGGGACGGGTCCCCACCATGGCATACATGATGGAGCCGACAAACGAGGTGTAAGGGAAGGAGGAGGAGTGTGGGGAGGAAGTCACGGGTGGCTGAAACTTTGTGTCCATGGGAGTGGCAGCGGGGTTCAGTGGAGAGAAGGAGTAGGTGTCTAGAATGGAGGTGATGAATTTGGATTGATGAAGG